CAAAAAAAACGGCAACGAAATTAAGACTTTAAGGGACAAGTTTTTGTTTTTGCTGTAAATTCAACTTAATTACCCAACGTTGATCGTTGTACACTCTAAGAAATAGAAATTAATGCCAAATTATTTAGTTTTCAAGAAATATTTAACGATTTTGCTTTACTATTCTAAGTGAAGTTTTCGTTTTTTACCTTAAGCCCAAAAGAAAATGTTCTCAAAATAAATAGGAATCGAATTAGTCTCAAACTAGGTCGCCAGAATATCTAATTTTTCCAGTGTGTCTGATGACATTTACACAAGACGACCGAGCACGCAGTTATTGAAAGGCAAACACAGAAACAGGGCCCAAACCATGGAACGGAAACGGGGAAACAGGGCGCAATGGGCGGAATGGAGGCGGCGGAAATGCCAAAAGGCAAGTGCGTGAGCCTGCATTTTCCGGGCAGAGAGCAGCAGGCATCAAGGGGCGGAGTGTGAGAATGGGTGTAGTTCAGATGAAAAGGTGATATCGGGGGCATATAGTGTTTGTCAAAAAACGATGTCAATATGTTTGCTCAGAGCAAAACAGACAGCGAACAAGGCAGTTGACACAGATAAACCAGAGGAGAGTTGCCAGGGGCCAGCTTTTCAATATGTAGATACAATGCAGCTGCCTGATAACAGGGAAAACGAGTGGAAAACAAATGCGATTTCAGTCGTTAGAAATGCATGACTCGAATAATTCATATGGTTAGTGGATTTAATTGGTACACACTTTGTCTTAAAAACAATAACCAGACTTTGCCTTGGCCCGTTGCCATTTTGGGCACTAAAAACAGTCATTCCCAGCAGAAGAAAGCTGCTGGGCTAAAAGGAAAAGTGGGCGTTTTTCAGTTCATCATATAGCGCTCGGCAGAATTACTTTTCCGAGTAAGGGAATGTATCATAAGTTTGGAAATCGCGTAAAGCAAAGGCAGCGAAATGTCTGGCGTGCCATGGCTTGTGCCTTCTGTTCTTTTTTTTCGGCACTTAAGAACTCTTGCCTTTTCCCCCGAAATTGTGTTGAAAAATGCATGGCAGGAAGTTGGATTGGCAGGCCAAGGAGCGAAAGAGGGCAAGGATGCGGGCAATATTACACAGAAATCCCTGCCAAGAACGATGATGATGATGATGATGATGATGGCGACGGCAGGCTGTCAGGTTTAATGTGTGCCCTTATACAGAGCACAGGATATGCGCGCGCTGTTCCATTCTCATTTTCATATAGCCATAATGTCCTGTGAATGCATAAAATGCATTTACGGAGGCATGAAAAATTTAAGTTTAATTAAGCGTTCACCCCGAGGGCCCACGGACCATGGACATTGCATCCTGGCAGCTCTGTGACATCCTGTTCTCATTTGTGATGCCGCTGGTCCACCGGCATCGCCGTGCACACACCATTGTCCTTTCCGATGCCCGCATTGAATCCGCTTCCGGTGCAGCCGCAAATGTTGGAGAAGCGGAATTCCAAAAGCCATCCCACAGTCCAAAACACAATGCCATTGGTTTTGGGCACGTTCCAAGCTGCAAAGATCCAATCCACTGGGAGTCCTTAGTGCTTAGGAGGTGGGGAGTTCCACCTCCGCCTCCAGCGGCACTGTATTACAAAATTAAGCGCATCTGTAAGCGGAGCCCAGAGCATTCGTTTTGATTTCAGCGATTTTATTCTCTTCTTTCCTTGGTGGCATTCATTTTCCCCTTGGACTTGTCACCTGGAAAAACATCAGAGACGTAGAATAACCTATATATAAAAGTTAAGAACAGAATTTAGTATAAAATTTATTGGTTTATAAGTTATTATTGACTGGAAGAGCCTGGGATAAAGTTTATTTTTACAGATACAGAAGACCATTGATCATCATTTAGGGTGTTATCTTTCTGGTTAAACTTTTTTGCAGAGTATGCAGACTTTGAGCTCACTTTGCCCCTTTTTCCAGTCGTTTGTCATGGTTTTGCAGGCGAGGGAGCCTGAAAATCTGAAAATCGATACGGAAGTGCTCCTGAGTTTGCAAACTCTGGTTGCTGCCTCTAAGCTGCTTGTGCTGCTGTTTTTCACATGATTCTGCACGTACAGCGAATTTCGCCTGATTTTTTACCTTTTTCTCCGTTGCCGCTTGCTGCCTGCTTTTTCGCAAACAATTTGATCCAATATTTGATTTAGTATTTGCCCTCGCAATTGTCGCACTGATGAATCGTCGCAGCCACCTAGACATGCAATAAATATATGTTGCATCTAACTCCGTTTGCATACATTCATTTGCGCCTGCAAACTGTTTGCCATGCATGGAATATATTTTGTTTACGAAAAGTTATTGCCTGAATAATTGAGCGAGTCAACAAGTCAGAGAGTTATTATTTAAACATGAGCAACATAAAAAAAAGGAATTTAAATTTGCCAGCCAAAGAGTAAAATGCGAAACCAAAATATGTAAATACAAATTAATGGAGTACTTCCTGTCTGCATCCTTTTGAATGCCAGAATGGCAGGCGGTAAATGTAAATGTAAATGTGAATATAAATGTGAAGTGCATTAAACGCCCTGTCTGTGGGTGCAACATTTCAATTACGTCCCGAACCGACCACTGGCTTCCTTTTCTTCTTGGCTTTTTTGGGCGGGGCCAAGTATCTGAGCTGTTTTTCCAGGCGAAAAATTTCCATTTGCATTTTTTTGTGGGGCCCACGGCAGCAGGCAAAATATTCCCACGCCGCCATGGCTCAAGTTCACCCAGCTGCCAGCCACAAAGATATATATATATATATACTATTATATATATATATTCATGTTTAAAGCCCCAGATCCAGATGTCTGTCGAAAAGCATGCCCCATGTGGATTGCCGACTTGTGTGATTACTTCCAATGTGTTTGGGAGCAACAAATATATTTGCCCATTTAATTAAATCTCTTTTCCGCTATTTGTTTAACGTTTTCCTCTTGTTTCTAGACATTTACAATGTGCGAGCGATTGGGTGGAGAATTCCTAGCTGCTGAAATCATATGCAAAAATTGGATCAATTACAATGCGTGATTGGCTCTTTGCGTTTAATTAGCATAATTGCCTGAGGAACATCAATTAAACTTGGGAAACTACGAAAAAGAAGTGAGGGAGCTGTGTAAATGGCCAAGGAAACTTTATCGAGAGTTACACGGTCTGCCAGTTTGTCAAGTTTCGAAGGGAAAACTTATGCCGAGCTGTGGAAATTGCAATTAGCTGGGGGTGCTCCCCCTATTTTGCTTGCGAATTGCCTGCAACACGCACTCGTCTCGGAAAAGCCATTAAACTTGCATAATTAGCACATTTTCAGCGCTGTTTGAAATCTTTAAAATCGGATCGGAGGGCTGAAATCACAGACTTTGGTCATTTCCATTCCGTTTACAATGGCGAATCAATTTGGTCCCCATAAAAAAAGGGGAATCAAGTAAAACGTGCGATACTCGAATGTGGCAAAGTCAAATGCAACTTTGTACGTGCCGTATTGTTGTGGCCTTTAGTGGGTGGCGGTGGCTGTTGGGTGGTGAAAAACCGCGGTGGCACCCGGCAAACAGGGTTGAACAATGCGGGCATCCAACCAATAATTACGGTTAACCGGCCGCAGTGCCAAAAGCAGGAGGAAAAGCAAAAGCACTCACGTGCCATCGCGGTCAGGAAGTTGATGTGTCGCTGTCGCTGTCCCGGACGATTTCCATTTGACTTTACTGCTCCTCTTCCTGTTCCCTGTTCCCTGTTATCCTGTCTACCTGGACTATCCTGACTCTCGTTCAATCAATGGATTTTACAGCTGACTTGCCAACATTATGGTAATCCGTCGTCGGCGTCGTCGGTCCTTTCCTCACTGTCATTTTGGAAATGGTTTTCCCCTTTTGCAGCAGGCGTAAATCATTCATTTCACTTGGCCCGGATTTTTTTACGGCAAGAGTTTTGTGGCCTCGCCATCAGCGGACCAAGAGAACGTGCTGAATTTGCTCCATTTCTGGCTGAAAGTTGCACAACAAGCGTGCTGGGACGTATCATTAGTTACATTGCAAAAACCCCAACCCCGTCTCTGGGTCCCTAGACATGGACACACCGAGACTCAACGAGTAAATTGAAGTTTAAAATAAAAACTTTGTGGCATGAAGAACATTATTTACACAGAGCTGTGCCACCCACTAAGCCAGCCGGTCTCCTCCTAGTCATCCTCAACGACGCACATAAATGGCATATAAGCTTAGATATGGCAAAAGCCCCGAGAACAAAAGACTCTGCGCGTAAAGACAAGCGCAGGAAAAATGATGACAAGTATATGTATTTTTGTGTGCACAGCCAGTGGGTGTGTATGAGGATGAGGATGGCGATGGCGGTGGCGATGAGGTGAATGGCTGGGAGCTGGGAACTGGGAGGTAGGAGCTGGGCGGAGCTCGAGGAGGCAAGCTGCCAAAGGGTTAAAAATGTATAGAAATCAGGTCAATTGTTTGCAGGATGTTAAAAAAGTGAAGCCACTGGAAAACATGGCAGAAGAAAGTGCTAGTTAAGTTCAAGTAATGGCACATAAAAGCTAGAATGTAGAGGAGGAGAGAAAAAGGTAATTTCTGTTATCTTAAGGATAATGGAACTAACGAGGGGGAGATTACAAGGAAGAATCTATTTAAAGTAATTTTATTTTGGAAAATACCATTAGTAATAATCTTAATGAAGGAAACTACTTTTATGTCTAGATTATAAAGATAATGTTTTGGGATTGTAAACTTAACAGCATCATTGCCTTCATTTAAAAGATTAGAATACAAGAGCATATGCAATCGAATCTGTGATAACTCATTAAAATTTACAATCAAATTAAAATGCAATTTACTAAACTGCCCAACGAGTTACCCAACATCCAGTGATCTCTCCATAAAATGCAATTAAACCATTTGGCATTCGCTGCCTACGATTAGTTTTGAGAGTTGCCAGCATATTAAAGTGATAAAACTAAACCCATTTCCCCTGTCTTCTCTTTTGCAGTCAACCGAGCGGCTTAAGTGAAAGGCAGAGGCACACAGAGCAAAAAGCCAACGAACCCGCTTCTGGGAGCAGACAGTCGGCAAACGGATTACGCACATCCTGCAGAGGAGCTCTCTGTAGCTGAAAACCAGCCATCAGCTAGCAGCTAGCAGCCAAGCCACAATGTCTAAGCACACGGACAACGATAATCTGCGCAATGACATCTACGAAAATCTGCCCTGTCAGGCGATGTACAACGATTCGGTGCGCAAGATGCAGCAGCAGAAATCATCCACGCCGACAGCCAACAGTAACCCCAATGCCAACTCCATTGGGAATTGCAACTCCACGCCGGCGATTAACAAGAACCATCCGCCGCCTGTGACCAACATGCCCAAGGAGATGTTGTATGCGACACCTCTGAGGAAATCTGATCGCTACAAGAGTGGAGAAAGGAGTCGCCACGCGGCTACAGGAAATCCGGAGACGAAGCTGTCAAACTATCGGGACTCGAATCGATTGGCCAGCGCTCGCAACGGAAATCCAGTGCAGATCACTGATCTAGACGCGGATGAGGATGACGGCCAGGGCGATGGTGTGGATGGCTGTGCTTCTACCAGTGCTTTGGTAGGTGGCTCCAAATATAGCAATCAGCCACCTAGTGGCACGGCCAACCAGCATCTCGAAGATCGACGTATCCTCAATTTCCTTAAGGACACTACACAACTTCAGAAGAAACTCGAGATCACCGGACGCGACTGTCCCAATGCCAGTTTTTCGAATTTGGCACGCGAGGAACATTTCGCCAACTTGGTGCAGCAGAATTTTCCGCAGGATGTGGCTCATCATTTGAATGGTGAAACCAACGGTGGATCCGCACCAGAAGAAGATGGTCACGAAGCCGCTGGAGGACCAAAACCTCAACCAGCTGAGGATACGGATGGGAACCTAGAGGCTCTTATGCAACGAAAGGTGTCCCCGGATAAGGAAGTCAATGGTTTGGTTCACAGTGGTGGCCTGGAGCCCAACAATCGAATTGTGAGCACCGTTTACATCCATCGAGAATGGGTGCTTAAGAAGATTGCCCTGTGCTTGGAACAGCGAACTGCGGGCAAGAAGCCAGTACCAGTGGCTTTGGGAGCAGCATCCTCCAGTTATGTATCAGCCAGGGCCAAGGCGGCGGCTATATCCAGCTCCAGTTATAATGGCTGTTTGGTGCTGGGCTCAAATGGATCCGGAAAGACCTCCATCTGTCAGGCCATCATGAAGGGCAACTCTGGAACCAAGGGAATACTCAACCGTAAGTTGCTGGCCTGCTACCTCATCGAATCCCAGAATCCGGAGTGTCATAGTCTTTCGCTGTTCATGCGAAAGATTGTACTGCAGCTGCTCAGCCATGCATCGTTGATTAGCCGGGATGAAAGCCAGCGGATCATCGATGAAGGCTTCTCCTTCTTGCGCGAAGAGGCCCAACAGCAGGAGTTCAAACTGGACGAGGCCATGAACAACATAAGCCTGAGTGAGAATGCCGAGGAGTTGCTGATCGAGGAGCTTAAGAGGGGAGCCAGCGAGTGCGACACCAAAGAGCTGGATAACTTTCAGGCACAGCGCACTTCCACTGTTAACAAGGCAACTAGGACTAGCCTAACGCGACAGCAATCGGAGCCGGCTCCATTGCAAATCGACGATGCAGTGAATCCGGACGATAAGACTGGCAGCAACTATGGTACACATCCACCAAAGCGCGCCTCCCGAGAGAGAGGTGATGTAGAGCAGGACAAAGACGTGGGCAACGAAAAGGAGCAAAAACAAGCTCAGGAACCAAAAGAGCCTGCCAAGACGAGTCCTGCGAAAAGCAAGTCAAAGATCCCCGTTAAACGGGGTCGTTCCGGCAGCGGTGTTCTCTCTCCATCAAAGCTAGCCACCATCAGCAATGGTGTCCAGTCGATTCAGCAGGGTGGTGGCGAGGATATAGCTGATCTCAATACTGACCAAGAAAAGCACGAAATCGAAGCGGCCATCAAGGATGATAAGGTGGAAGAACCACAAACCAACAACGAAGACACAGAGGAAGATAAGCCTGAGGCGGATAAGGAGCTAAATGACATACTAAAAGAGGAGTTGGATAAATCCTGCCAGGAAGTCAAGGAGGAGGAACCCAAAGAGGAGGGAAATGCTGCTGATTCCAGTACTGAACCTCTTATTGATTTTACAGAGACGAAGGTTAATGGCAAAGGGGAGGAACCACAGCAAGCTCCACCAGTGCCAGGTGAGAAGCCCAGGATGAGCACCAATACCCTACCTCCACCTCTGCCCAAAACGAAGAGCTGTCGCACCATCATAGCTGATGGCTATTACGAGCTGCTGCTCTCCAATCCGGAGATCCTCGAGTGCCTCAGTGTAGACAACATCGAAAAGAATCCAGATGAATGCTTTAAGAAGGCTTTTCTCTTTCCTCTGCTGGAACTGACTCCTCCGAAGACGGCTTTACTCCTGCTGATTGATTCCATTGACGAGAACTACATCAATGAGGGAAACCTCATCTCCACTTTAAAGGGAGGAAGGGGTACGGCAACCAACCACAAGAGTCGCAATGTAGCTGAGCTGCTCTCGAATCACATCCACCTGTTTCCCAAGTGGCTCTTCCTGGTGTGCACCACCAAGAAGCAGACCAAGCAGATCACCAAGATGTTCACTGGCTTCAAAAAGATCACCCTAGACGATCTACGGAAATCCCACGTGGTCAAGGACGTTCAGGAGTACATCATCAACCGACTGAACTCTGACTTTAAGGACAGCATCATGCTGACCAAGGAGATTATCGAGTCACTTCATCAGCTCTACATCAAGTCGAATGGATGCATTCTCTATCTGGAGAAGGTTCTTCATGGCATCAAGGACAACTTTTTCAGTTTCCGGGAAATCAAGCTGATCCCCTGCACTCTGAACGGCCTGTACTTGTACATTTGCCAGAAGTCCTTCAACAAGAAGCAGTACATGAAGATTCGACCTCTATTAAATGTCCTGTTAGCCTCCTCCGGCTACGTGGACAAGCTCTTTCTTTTCAACTGCCTACGCACACACAACTACACAATCGATTGCCAGGAGTTCGAGAAGCGACTTCAACTGATGCGCAACATCCTGGCCTACGACTCCAATGCACAGCGCCTAAAGATCTTCCACAACTCATTTGCCGATTGGTTGGTAGACGTGAAGTTCGCGACCAAGAAGTTTATCTGTGACGTGAATGAGGGCCATGTGATGATCTCCATGTACTACCTACTAGTTGCGGACACTCTCTGCGCGAATACAGTTCGAAAGTTTGCTTACCATCTCATTCGATCGGGAGAATACCTGACCAGCCGGCACGTAGATCTGGATCTTATCCTGATGCTGTTGGAATCGCGGCTCAATTTGAGTGACTGTTTCTACACGAACCAGATGAACTGCTGTGCCCAGTGCGAACATGATTTTAAGTATGACGGCAACTTCCTACCCAAGACGCGAGCAATGTTGGAGCGCTTCTTGGCCAGCGAGCTGAGCGAACCTTTTGCCCAGTTCCTCTGCGATTTCTTCAAGCCTAGCCTACCCACGGACGCCAAGATGCTGAAGCTACTCATTGAGACGGGAATCAACAATGCCGAATCCCAGAATTCCTGCGAATCATCGCTTATGTCACCGGAACTCTCAGAGAAATCTCAAAATATTGACTTTGAGCTGGCCGATCTCCTTTTATCTAGCGAGAAGAGCTGCCTGATGGAGACTCAAAGGGCTGGAAGTCCCTCGGAACACAGTGAGCCGCCGGCTGAGAGCCAGGATGAGAATGCTTCGAGTACCCTGCACCAGCTTTCCGATTCCCATCACATTGAGCTGCACAAAGGCAAGGCTCTGATCCACATACTGGCTAATGATGGTAATCATCAGCTGCTGGAGAGGGCGCTCAACGCCTGCAAGAGTCCCATCGATCTGGAGATTGAGGATTACAATGGCCAGACGGCCTTGAATATTGCCGCGCGAAATGGTCACCTTGAGGTGGTGAAACTACTGCTCAGTTTCTCCCAGCCCTGTAACGATGGCACTGGTAGGATGAAGCGAGTGGATGTGAACCATGCCGATCGCGATGGCTGGACTCCCTTGAGGTCCGCTTCCTGGGGTGGTCACAGCGAGGTGGTGCGCCTGCTTATAGCTCAACCAGCTTGTAAAATTGATCTTGCGGATAAGGAGGGGCGTACAGCTTTAAGAGCCGCTGCCTGGAGTGGTCACGAGGACATCCTAAAGCTATTGATCGAGTCGGGTGCAGATGTCAACTCTGTGGATCGTCAGGGTCGCACTTCTCTAATTGCCGCCTCGTACATGCGACACTATGATATAGTGGAGATTCTTCTGGAAAATGGTGCTAATGTCAATCACTTGGATCTGGATGGACGCAGTGCTCTGTGTGTGGCCGCCCTGTGTGGATCCTCTGGATATAGTAAGGTTATATCTACGCTGTTGGATCATGGCGCCAATACGGATCAACTTGACAACGATGGCATGTCACCACTGCTGGTCAGTTCCTTTGAGGGGAACGCCGAAGTGTGCGAGCTGCTCTTGGAGAATGCCGCGGATCCGGATCTGGCTGATTTCATGGGACGAACTCCCCTTTGGGCAGCTTGTACGGCTGGACACGCCACTGTGGTCAAGTTGCTGCTGTTCTGGGGCTGTGGCATCGATTGCATGGACTCAGAAGGACGTACAGTGCTAAGTATTGGCGCAGCCCAGGGAAATGTGGAAACGGTAAGGCAACTGCTCGATCGTGGATTGGATGAAACGCATCGGGACAATGCCGGATGGACACCACTGCACTATGCTGCTTTTGAGGGTTTCCACGAGGTGTGCCTGCAACTGCTGGAATCGGGAGCTAAGATCGACGAGTGCGACAACGAGGGAAAGACCGCTTTGCATCTGGCAGCTCAGGAGGGACGTCTTCATTGCGTCCAAGCTCTGCTTGACATCCACTCTAGTTTCGTCGATCAGAAGGCTCACGATGGAAAGACAGCTTTCCGACTCTCTTGTTTGGAGGGGCACATGGACACCGTGGAGTTCCTGCTGAAGTTCTGCTGCGATGTGAACTCCAAGGACGCTGACTCACGCACCACCCTTTACATCCTGGCGCTGGAGAACAAACTTGAGATTGTCAAGTACCTGCTGGACATGACCAACGTGGACGTTAACATTCCGGACAGCGAAGGCCGCACAGCCCTACATGTGGCCGCCTGGCAGGGTCATGCCGATATGGTCAAGACCTTGATCGAGGCGGGAGCGGATGTGAACTCTATGGACCTGGAGGCTAGAACGCCACTACACTCTTGCGCCTGGCAAGGCAACCACGACGTAATGAACATCCTGCTGTACTACGGAGCATTGGCAGATCACGCCTGCAAGCAGGGAGCCACTGCTCTGGGCATCTCAGCACAGGAGGGTCACGAAAAGTGCGTGATTGCCCTTCTCCAGTTCGGAGCCAATCCGTACAAGTCGGATCATTGCGGACGCACGCCCATCAAACTGGCGGCCAAGTCGAGTCGCACCAGCATCTTAAAGATCTTCGAGAGCTACACCAAAAGTAAGAGTCCACCACGCAGAAGAAGCCTCTTGCTCTGTTACTAATGCTTTCCCTTTTGTCCTTTCCTTAATCCTCATCTAGATGAAGCTAGCAATCCCAACGAACCCAAGTTCCATGCACATGCCAGCATGCTGAGATCTCCGGATCAGCCGCCGGCTCTGCCACTTCACCAGAACCTGGCCCCCTATCCAGCACATGCGTCTGCATCTTCGGTCTGTTCGGCGGCCACCACGGCTACAGTGCACAATGGCAGCCACCTGCACGTCCTCAATGCCTCCAGTTCCACGCACAGCTCGAACAACTTCTATCAGAACACCATGCAGTCAGATACGAGCAGTTTGCACAAGCGCAAGAGCGTCATCTCTAGTCAATCCACGGGCAGCAGCAATGATGTGAGTATCCTTAGAATTTAACCCTGTAATCCGATCATTTATCCTTTGTAATTCCCACAGCAAGCGCCGCTTACCTTCACTCAGCAATTGCAGCGACAAAGCAAACTGAGCTCACGCAACAATCTGATGGTTAACTCGAAGCACGCTTCCAGCTCGGGAGCAGCAGGACACAAAAACAATGGTGGAGGAGGAGGCGCCCAACGGCACTCCCAGGTTCTTCCCGATCTCAGCGAGCATCAACTTGGTAGGTCCAACACTATTTTAATACTCGAATTCCAAGCTAACTTAAATTGACTTCAAATAGCATCTAACATGACCAACGAGGCGGACATGTACGATATGGAATGCATGTCACCGCTATATGCCACACCCCCACACTCGCCCAGCAGCGAGTTGAGTTCGCCCGGACAACTTCCGGGACTGAATGCCTTCGTGGACGATGAGAGGGCCGGAACTAGCACTGGCGGAGGAGCCAAGCTCCCAGATAATCATTTCGCACGGGACACGCACATGCGTATTATTCTGGGCAACCTCAAGGAAAACCAGCCCAGCTCCTCGAGGTAAGTAAAACTTTTAAAAAGATTATAAGGAATCAAGTAATTTATTGATTTTTACGATTTCCCACCAACAGCAAGAGCAAGCGCAGCGGAGTATCCAGCAATCCGGCTATGCGGCTTATCCGTAGTCGCTTCGATGCCGCCTCCCAGTTAATCAGACGCACCAACAACATACTCTCCTCCAGTAGCAATCAGGGCTCCTCCAGCATTGGCGTCAAGTCGGGCACCTTCCAGTGGCGTAAGGAGAGTCAAATGTAAATGCCAGCGCGGAGATTACATTACTTCCCTGAAAACTCACTTCTCTTACACACCCACTTACATACTCAGTCTTTGAAGCATTACTTATTTGAGTTTATATACCTTTGTACTTCTGAGAAAGTATTTGTTTTTTGTGATAGTTTCAATTTTAGTAAACTTTTTAATACGTATATTCTGATTTAACTAAATATATTTAGGCATACCACCCATACGAAGTAGTTTAAGGCGTGAGCCAAGTATTAAGCTAAAATCCCATATATAGAATACTTCATTACATTTTTGGCATGCAAATCGTAGCAATTATTCTTCAATATAGCGAAAAATCTAACGAAATTTAAATAGAACACGACACGAATGTATATTTAAGAGAGCTCAGACCACAGCACTGTTCTCAGTCTTATTTTTAAAGTATTTATTAAATCACCTTGCATAAGACAGAGCAATGGCTTATAATTTAAATATAATATAATTTATGCTGGTACAGGGCTTCCCAAACAAAGGGATCCAGTTCTGAAGGCCATACTACTCCCAGGCGCATTTACTCGTATTGGCAAGCAACGGCTATAGAAATGTAGTTAATTTATACGAAATACTTTTACAATTAATTGCAAACACTGTTTATGTCAATTCATTTAAATGCAGTTCCCCAAAGTACCAAAAACCCATTATCCTTTTCCATTACGTGCTTTTCACGGCATAAGAAGATCCAAGAGATACGAAATATGTGTATTATATTGCTCGCACCTAAAACTCAAAGCGGTCCGTTCCTGTACCTTAACACTTGTCACTAATTTTATGTAACCCTTAAGCCGGACAAACCAATCAAATACACAACCGAAGCATTAATGAAATATTTTCTGAAAATCTACTCCCCACTGCAAAGCAGCAAAATGACAGACACAGCAAACAACGCACTGGGCTAAATCCAAAAAAGAAAATCGAAGAAAAGTTGAACAGCGAAATGTTAATGAACAGAACAGAACCTAATTAATTGTTAACAAAACCTATGAAATACCGAAGAATACAATTGTTTAGATATAAATAAATATATATTTCAAAAGCATATTTACAAGTTAATGATCAGAGTTATTCAAAGTAACATTATTATAATCATAACAGATAACCGAACAGACTAAAATACAATCCACAGAGATACACACATTACACAAACGCATGAGGGGTCGAAACCAAAGATAAACATTTACATTTGGAAGTAATATACACATGATAAATATAACTAACATAACTATATATATGAGAATATGTACTTATACACTGTAGTGTTGTAGTTTTGAAAAGGTTGCGATGAATTATTGACAAAAATTGATACAGGAACATTTACAGAAAATTCTGAGTGTGTTGAAGTTAAAACAACTTTTTGAGCGAAGCGACGAATAACGAAGCATATACATAAATATATAACTCTGAATCTGAATAAAACTGTATATTCATACAAATAATTTTAAAGTCTTTTTTAATATTATTTGAGGAATGTGTACGCAGTCTACTTGCTGGTGTCCACAAGTATTTTAGGATTGGCCACATGGAAAACACTGGGCACCATTCCCGCCAGAGTGGTGAACAAGCTCTCCGATATGTCATCAGGCAGTAGCAGTTGCAAGGTGCTGAAATAACCAATCTAATTAAGAAACACAACAGCATTACAAAAGCCCAATGTCCCACCTTAATTCAGCTCCTCCCCAAGATGCAGATTCTATCATAAATCCCTTGGCACACTTAAAAACCAGTTCCGCCCTTCGGATGCACCACTGGACGGTCATGTCCTCGCTCATCTCGTGGCGAAGCAATGCCGGAATGGTCAGAGTGGTTATATCATGTCTGCTGGCTGTCTTCAGTATATTCCTTAAGCCCAAGATCACCGGGTGCCGAGAGTTGATTTCACTTGGACTGTTGATAGGCTCGTCGGAAATTAGGTGGAATATAACATGTGTTTGAGACAGATTCGAATGCTTGGTAATAAAGAAGTCTCCCGTTTTCAGTCTCGGTACGCTCTTCTTGGTCGGCGAGGGTGTTGCACTGCCCTCTGCACTACTGTTACTGTTACTGCTGCCACTCGAATCTCCAGTGCTGAGATTCTTAATCTGCTTGTCAATATTCTCCAGCTGAACATCCATCTGCTCAAAGTGGAACTCGGTGGATTTGTTGGCATTCTTAATTATATTCTTGTTGGGCTGGACCTGAATCGAAGGAGTCAACACGACGACACCGCACAAAGAGCTTGAATACAGTCCCAGAGCCATGTTGAGGCCATTGAGACTCTCCTCGGCGTGCAGCGGACTACAGAGCTCCGTGACATTAGCACTGAGTATACGAATGTTGTGCATATGCTTTAGTTGAGATCCCAGATGAATGGTGAAGCTCTCTTCCATTGAAGGTTGTTGCGAGACGAACATCGAGGAACGATTTCCCAATGGCGTAGCCACCGGCGATACTTGAAACATCTGGCTAACTTGGCTGGTGATCCAATCACGATATTCGTTCTTCTGATGACCCATCATTGCCTCCAGTTCGGACTCGTAACGTTTGCGCACGTAATTCTGTGTGGTGTACTGCTGGGCCAGCAGGTTATTGATATCCTCTGAAGTGGTGGTGATATCCAACTGATTGATTTGGCTATCCATCTCCTGTTGCTGAGAGTTGTTCAGAGTCTCCACCTCGTTGTCCATGTGTTCGGTCATGTCGGACACAACCTTGGCATAGGTTCGCTCCCGCTTGAGGATGTCCTCCAGGGACGAGGAGTGAACCAGCCTGTGGAAGCTTTGGGCGAATATGTCTGCATCGCTGGGACCAACGCGGTCGGCAAACTGTAATAGTTCCTCCTTATACAGCCTTTCCGTGTCCCGCACTATGGCCTCGATGTCCAGTTCTTCATTGGCCGCCTGATTCAGAAGCTTTTCAGCTTGGTCATCTAGGAACTTCTGTTGCTCGATGTCCACAAACTCCTGCAACTGCTTTTCCAAATCTTTTTAAAATTAGAGCCACTGTTAAAAAAATGTTCATGCAAGTACTCTCAAGAACTCACTGATATTCTCGTCCAAATACCGCATCATTGGATCCATCTGGGATGGAGCCATTAACTGGGTCACACACTCCTCCAAATTCTCCTGGTCAAAAGGAAAAGTTATGTTTAGCCGAGACTCGCAGTCTTGGCCTTCATGATTTTTGTACTTGTACACGAACGGCAGGGTGCGAGTGGCAGTGGAGTCCATTTTTGGGGCTTCAGTTCTTATTTTATTTAGTTATAGTCATTAATTCGCAAGTTAACGCCTCCTCCCCCAAGAAATGCAATTAGTATGACCGCATAGCGACCGCTTAAATATACTTTGAACATTTTTTTTAGCTAAGAATCGAACCAATGCTGTTAAAAATTAAGATGCTGTCACATGTCACGTTAGTATTTGAACATACTGTTAACATTTGACAGTGTGTACACACCTCTTATATTTGAGTTTAAATTAAATGCAACTTTTATTTTTAAATGCAAACAAACGGATTTGTTTTCTGAAATTTCTTTATTCAAAAATGTAAAAGGAAAATAAAAAATAACATATGAAAATTAGTTATATATTTACGCCGCTGTAGAAAGGAACTAGGTCAACTTCATCCATTCGACCGACCAGACCTTCTGAAAGTTAAAACTTTGCCGGTTTTGGAAGCTGTGGAATATAACTTACCCGTTCTGTGGGGGGAACACAAGGAACCGAGTCTCATCAACGAGGTTGCAAGTGCGGATGACCTTCCTTGGCTGATTTTAGTAGCGCTGCGGCAGTCTTTCAGCGCTTCGCATACTTTTCACAGCCAACTTGCAACAGAAATTACAATAATATACATGGTTGTAAATTACATGGTTTAGGTGTTGTGGGCAAATCAAATAAACGGGGACAATGAAACCTGTTAAGCGATTAACAAGAACTCGGGAATAACGCAAATGCCCACCCAAAAGAAAGGCTATAGTAATAAGAATTCTTGGCTGGCTTTTGGACTTGGTCCTACTTGCTTGCACCCTTTTACCTCTTCAATATACTCCTCTTTTTCTGATCGAGTTCCTGTTGCTGATGCTGCTGCTACAGAAATATACAAAACTACGAGGCTCAGCTAAATACTTATTGAGCGATCGAAAAAGTTAACATCAATTTCTGTACACTTGTTTTTTGAATGTTGTATTTTTTCGCTACATTAAAATGTAAATTTGATAAACATAATTGCGCTGACACCTCTGACAGACTGCTTGCTAAAAGGTATAAATTACAATAAGTGTTGTTTTTTGATCGGTTATATCTAAACAGCGGAGATAAAATAATTCCATGTCATCACTTACAATGAAATCTAAGTATCTACGTTCCTCCCACACAGGTCAGGTTCGCTTAGAACTTGAATAGTAAAATTATTAAGTCTAGGTCAGCGTGCGGATGGATGGCGAAGATCATTCCGCTCGCTCTACTCGATTTAATTCTATGAGAACTTAGTCTAGTAAAATTGTAAAATGTAATACATGTTTTTTAATATTTTGTGTTTTCTGCTCTGATTATCAAAAGTTGCCAGCAGCCGATGGACTGGAGCTGTCTACATACAAATCATTATATCTCTCGGCTGCCGCTTTGAAGTTTACATATCTGATTCATTTATAACTGGGATTAAATAGGTTGGTTGTGTGGAGATACAAATGTTTGGCCTGGCGTGGGCTTTTGTTGCTCTAATTACAATGTTACTTAAGTTGGTTTGCTACAATGTGAAGTTATAGATTACAATTCTATGGATATTGGATAGTTCTTCGATGCTCCTCTTAATAAATAATCAATCAATCATCGTGTGCAAACACAAATCGAATGGAATCCTGGTCAGCTGCTGTGTTCGTGTACTGCCACTTTTGCTGTGTGCGATTTTCTCTGAATGATTTGTAATTCTCTCCTGCTTTGATCACACACTGCTCTGCACTGTACTGTACTGGTATGGTTTCGTAATGATATTTATTTCTTTTCTAATCCAAGTCTGAACCAAACTCCTTAAGACTGCACTGCACTGATCCTGATCAATCAATCTGCTCTCTTCACTTCTCTTCTGTCATGTTTGGTTTGGTTTGTGGTGCTCGGAAAACTTCTTAGGTCTATGAACGACGTTCGTTCATACTCGTTATTGATCATTGAATTGCGTATCGTTTACTTGACTGTGAATTTTGGGCTTATACTGAGCGACTTTTACTTTATCACCTATAAAATGTCGATAAATGAGAAACGTTATTTAAAACAATTGCTGTGAAAAAAGGGTTCTTAATTGGTTGATGGGTTTATGTTCGCTAAATACTTGTAAAGAGTAATACGTAAGGCTTAATTAAGTTTGTAGAGTAGGGTGGTTCGGACTGTATGAGCCGATTTGCTTTTCAGTCCCATTAAGCTGTTACAATCTACCAAAAATGCCGAAAAGGGCGCTACTAAAAAAAACACGTTTGCCAAATCAAACGAAAGGTTTACTGTCGAATGGATTAAATTAGAGACTGGTTGGTTAATGGTCTGACTTTGCCTTGGACTATAACTAGATGTTAGTAGTGGTTATAAGGATGTCTCACCTCGTCTGGTATTGCGCTCAATATCTGCGGTTGTTGCCACCGTTATTGAAGCCCTGATTGTTGCCGCCATAGTTGCCTTGATTGCCACCTCCTAAAAAAAAACCCAGGATCGATAAGAAAACGTCTAATGTTTGTCTTTCTCTTCTATTTACTAAACCAAGCCGGTGGTTACTAATAATTCAAAAATGTAACGTGGCTGCGTGTTACGCCGTATTGGGTTTATCTTACATACGCATAACATAGCGAAGGCCATCGTAAGTTATTCTCACAGCATTTAAATAAGCTAACTGCCAAACTCTATCGACGTTCTAACAGTTAGAGTGTCAGGGTACTGTGTCTCGTTATTTAGCAACTATTAATTTATCAATGGTTTTTCAGCTCACCTGCTTTGAAGTTTCCACCTCCTTGGTAAGGTTGCATGCGGTTGCTGTTGAAGTTGCCACCACCGCGCTGAGGGCCGCCGCCGTAGTTTTGCTGATAGCCACCAAAGTCATTGCCACCACCATTCCAGTTGGATCCGCCACCACCGCCGAAATTGCCGCCCCCATTGCCATTGTCCCATGGGTTATTGTTGCCCCAGCTGTTGTTTCCACCTCCATAGCCGCCGCCGCCACCGAAGTTGTTGTTACCCCAGTTATCATTGCCTCCGCGGTTGTTGCCCCAGTTGTTGCCACCACCGTTCTGAAATGTCAATTAAGCAAATTAAAAACCACAATTTAAATGAAAGACTATTAAATTATGCTTACCCAATTACCACCTCCATTCTGGTTACCATAGTTACCGCCACCGCCTCCCATATTGCCACGGTTTCCACCGGCACGGCCTCCAGGGCCACCACGTCCTCCGCCACCGCCTCCTTGCTGATCATTTTGCTTCGGCAAAGCCTTCTTCACGTCCACCATTTTGCCATTGAGCTGATGCTGCTTTTGCACTGCAAAGAAGAGTGGATAAATACTATTAATAGGGTCCAAAAATAAATTACCACGGATAGTGCATCCGAAAAATAGTGTGCCGTATACTTTTTCATCGTTGGTACATTGAAAACCACCAACAACAATGATATAATACTGGCTGGATTTTAATCTTACAGTCGCTAACGCCGCATGAGCTCATCAAACATTGCTATGTGGAGCTGGGACTGTGAAAACGTTCTAGTCCTTAAATGAATTTTTATTAATATCTATATACATTTTTTTAATTGTAACGAGGCTGCGTGTTACACAGAAATGGTTTATAATGTACATTCGTATAACATAGCTATAATGATCTCCCACCATTCAAAGGGGAACTACTCAGGCGTCGGTTTCGTACCTGTCAATTTGTCAGTACTGTAATGCAAAACATTTAACTGACATGGTTTCGGATTAAAACTAACAAGCTAATGCCCCAAATTTCCCTGGTCGATTTATTCCGATCGTAGTGTGCCATATACTCTTTCATCGTTGGTGCATGGAAAACCACCAACAACAACGATATAATACTGGCTGGATTTTAATCTTACAGTCGCTAACGCCGCATGAGCTCATCAAACATTGCTACGTGGAGCTGGGACTGTGAATCGGACTTAATTATATATATTCTGTTAAATGCATTTGTAGCGAGGCTGCGTGTTACACTGAATAGGGGATACAATTTACATTCGCATAACATAGCTTAGCCGACGCTTTCATTCATCTCACAGCGTTTAAAGGAAAACTATCCAGGTGTTGGTTCCAAGCCCGTCAATTTGTCAGTACTGTGATGCTTAAAACAGGGTTTATCTAAGTACTTCTATTCATCATAATTGGTTAAATTATAAGGTACTATGTCATATACTTTTTCATCGTTGGTGCACAAAAGCAGCACCAACAACAATAATATAATACTGGCTGGATTTTAATCTTACAGTCGCTAACGCCGCATGAGCTCATCAAACATTGCTATGTGGAGCTGGGACTGTGAATCGGACTTAATTATATAGATTCTGTTAAATGCATTTGTAGCGAGGCTGCGTGTTACACTAAATAGGGTTACAATATACATTCGCATAACATAGCTTAGCCGACGCTATAAATGACCTTACAGCATTTAAAGGCAAACTACTCAGACGTCGGTTTCATACCTGTCAATTTGTCAGTGCTGTGATGCAAAACATTTAACTGACATGGTTTCGGATTAAAACTAACAACAAGCTTATGCCCCTAAATTTCCCTGGTTGGTTTATTCTGATAGAAGTGTGCCATATACTCTTTCATCGATGGTACATAGAAAAGCACCAACAACAACGATATAATACTGGCTGTATTTTAATCTTACAGTCGCTAACGCCGCATGAGCTCATCAAACATTGCTATGTGGAGCTGGGACTGTGAAAACGTTTTAGTCTTTAAATGATTTTTTATTAATAACTATATACATTTTTTTTATTTTGAAACGAGGCTGCGTGTTACACAGAATTGGTTTATAATGTACATTCGTATAACATAGCTATGATCTCACAGCATTCAAAGGGAAACTACTCAGGCGTCAGTTTCGTACCTGTTAATTTGTCAGTACTATGAAGCTACAAAATTTTGTTGATGTGGTTTCGCATTAAAACTAATAAGCTAATGCCCCAAATTTCGCTGGTTAATTTATTCCGATCGTAGTGTGCCATATACTCTTTCATCGTTGGTGCATGGAAAACCACCAACAACAACGATATAATACTGGCTGGATTTTAATCTTACAGTCGCTAACGCCGCATGAGCTCATCGAACATTGCTATGTGGAGCTGGGACTGTGAATCGGACTTAATTATATATATTCTGTTAAATGCATTTGTAGCGAGGCTGCGTGTTACACTAAATAGGGTTACAATATACATTCGCATAACATAGCTTAGCCGACGCTTTGATTTATCTAACAGCGTTTAAAGGGAAACTGCACAGGCAATTACATGAAGCCCGACAATTTGTCAGTGCTGTGCAAGCATATAGATTAGGGGTTGTTTTAACCTGGAGGCCATTGTGGCGCAAACATTTTCATCGACATACGGGGTGTCTAGCCAGGAACGATATAATACGAGCCGGTTTAATCTAACAGTCGCAAACGCCGCATGAACACATCAAACATTGCTATTCGGAGCTGGGACTGTTGGAAGGGATATCATCTTAACGAATCCTATGTAAAGATGTTACATTCTCAGCTACCTATCTTTGGATTATTTGGGTACTGAGTTATCTTGAACACAAAATTATCTTACTTATATATAATGTAGAATATATCTATCGCGATACACATTTATCCAAAATTATGTTAAATAGTTTTTAAAACGAAAATATTTTTACTTACACACAACTTTGTCGACGGGGTCGTAGTCATCGAACTCAACGAAGGCGAATCCACGCTTCTTGCCCGTCTCCTTGTCCATAACGATGTTGATGTCGACGATGTTGCCAAAATGCTGGAAGTAATCTCTAATGCTCTGCTCATCGTGATCGTCCTTGAGGGCGCCCACAAACAGTTTCTTGACTGTGGCACCGGCATTTGGGGAGTCAATGTCCTGGCGGGGAACAGCTCGCTTGGGCTCCACCACGCGGCCGTCAATTTTGTGAGGTCGCGACTTTTGCGCCTCATCAATCATGCTTGAGTGGGAGTACGTGATGAACCCGAAGCCGCGAGAGCGCTTCGTGCGCGGATCCTTCATGACCACGACGTCCACGATGTTGCCCCATTTCTCAAAGTGACCCTTCAGGTTCTCGTCTGTGGTTCGGTAGTCCAAACCACCGATGAACAATTTGCGCATATGCTCCGGCTCAGTGATAGAGTCCTGGAAAAGAATCATGAATTATTGATTTTCTCCAACAACCTAACCTCATTTTCTGCCCCTGAGACACATGCGTAATTTTCAAAATGGCGGCCAGAATGGTGAGACACCAGCTCGTATAAAACTTAAAATAGAACCTTTAATCCCTGTACTTACATCATCGTGGCCGTTGGAGTCGCCGTTTTGGTTCGAGTTATTCACCATTTTACAATTTCAAGCCTTAATGTAGCTGTATAAAATCGTTTTCTCCTCGTTGAGAACAGAGGAAATCCCTTGTCACACGCGTCAATGGAAAAATTGAAATGAGTGTGACTGCTTTGAGAAACGAGGAGAAAACATTACTTTGTATCGATACATTATATTTTTACCCTTTCTCATAAAAGCGCGGTCACACTAGAACAGTTAGCGAATACATCATTCTGTTAGCCGATACAACCTCCTAATATATGTCTTCCATATATCGATTTAACAGCCATCTCTATTTTCTTACCTTCTCCAATTTGGTTTAAGCTTTTGTGGTATTTTTAGCCGCACCTGTTGCAGTCACACTGCCTTACGTGTTAGGAAATAAATTTAAGTTTTTTTTCCCAAAATGCCGAAAAAGAAAACAGGGCAGCGAAAAAAGGCAGAAAAGCAAAAACTGCGGCTTAAGGAGATCCGCAGCAGGGAGGTGCCTTTGGCAGATGTGCCCTGCAATGCGCCGATGGAGTGTGACAAGTGTGAGAAGAAGCAAAAATCGCGAGCCTTCTGCTACTTCTGCCAAAGCCTGCAGAGGCTACCAATTTGCGCTCAGTGTGGAAAGATTAAGTGCATGCTGAAGACAGGAGACTGTGTGGTGAAGCATCCGGGAGTCTATACTACCGGTTTGGGTATGGTAGGCGCCATCTGCGACTTCTGCGAGGCTTGGGTGTGCCACGGACGCAAATGCCTCCAGAATCACGCCTGCACGTGTCCGTTGCAGAATGCGACCTGCCTGGAGTGCGAACGCGGTGTCTGGGAGCACGGTGGACGTATCTTCAAGTGCTCCTTCTGCAACGGATTCTTGTGCGAGGACGACCAGTTCGAGCACCAGGCCAGCTGTCAGGTGGGTATCCTCTTTCTTAGATATTTTAGAGATTTCAATAGCCTTTTAATCTAAAAGTATGCTACAAGATATTATGAGTTAAGGTTCCCGTTTCACAGTTTTTCCTCCAATCATATTTAAATTTCTTGCAGGTGTTGGAGTCGGAGAACTACAAGTGCCAGTCTTGCAACAAGCTGGGCCAGTACTCCTGCCTACGATGCAAGACCTGTTACTGCGAGGATCATGTGCGCCGCAAGGGTTTTAAGTACGACAAGAACAAGGCCATTCCGTGTCCCAAGTGCAACTACGACACCTCTGTGACCAAGGACCTCAGCATGTCTACGCGTTCCCACAAATTTGGGCGTCAGCAACAAGGAGGCAACAGCGACGACGAGGATGGATATGGTGGATACTTCGGAGCCAGTGGCAGTGGAGGAGGCTACTATGGTGGTGCTGCCAGTGGTGGTTATTCCTATGGCGATGATGATGATGATGATGATGAATCTGATGGAGATTACGAGGATGAAAGCGATGAAGACGACGATGATGATGAGGAGGACGAAGACGAGACCACGGAGAGCGAGGCGGAGAAGGAAACCGACAAAAAGGCCACCAAATAAGGCTGAATTGTTTATATATAAATGGCCTTTTGTTAGACTCGGCTGTGCATTCGTTGCTCTCAATGTAATTCTGTAATAAATTCTTTGTGAAATTGTAGAGCTTCCAAAGTTAAATGCAACAAGCTGCAAGTGGGTTTTGGGAAAAGACGGAAGGTAAATGTACCAACGAATTCGGCCAACAATGCTAGAGGGACGAAAACTGGGGATCTAAGGGTGCGGAATGGAAATGGACTGAGAGGAGCAATGCCAACCCATACGCATATGATGATGGCTATGCCAGCGGCTCTGCCAACGCCGGCTTCTCTGTTGATAGACTCATCCATCTCCAATCCACTTACGAGCGCAAATATTTACACAATTTACTCGAAAACGGAGGTATGAGCATATAATATTTCCAAAAACGATGGCAAACACACCACACACACCAAGAGAGAGACACGCACTTCGGCATTTGGGAATGTTTGGCAGTTAGGCAGAGTGGAACAGCAACAGCAATGGGTGATGTGGGGGTATGGATTGTGGGTTACGGACTGGGGCAGACCCATCATCAGGCTGAAACATTTTAGGCATTGCAAATCAATGAGCGGCTTGACGGGAGGGAGGAGCATAGTTCTTCTGCATATGAATGAAATCATATGTGGCGTTACTTATGTAGGCGAGCCCTGTGCGAGGATGTGGATGGACTGGGAGTGGGTGAGTGGCAGGCAAATCAACTGTGTACATAATACAGATTAGTGTGAGAGGATGTGGGATGCATATACAGCTGGGATCAGGACAATAGCTATAGGAATGAAATCTATAAACTAAAAATAACCTAAGGGTGTGAGATCCTTGAAATGAGAGCACTCTCTATATTAAATGAAGGTTTTAAATTTATGATGAGACTTTAAAACTAAAATATTCTCTTACAAGAAATAATTAGAATATTTTTACGACATAATGTGTGTGGACTTGGTTTTTCTCAACCTATATTAACATATAAATTTACTGTTGATTTTAAAGCATTCATACTTAAGTGAGTCCTAAAATTAAAATTTTGGTCTAATTAAGCCCTACTATTAATGTAGCCTCCACTGTCTTACGCCCAGCCAGCTTAAATATAATGGCTGCCTGCCAGCATTTTGTGTCTGCATTTCAATCAAAATGGCCTGTCTATTCTGGCCGAAGTAATGTCCAAGCCATCGGAGTTAGGGCTACTCAACAAAATTAGAAATGGGGTGGCTGATGGCGCCCTAGATGGAGGGGTGTATAGGTTGGGCTTCGAATATTTCTGGACACTCGGCTGTGGTGGTCACTGCCAAACATCAATAATAATTTCATAAATGTAATCAGAGAGAGGCAAACAAGACCCCAGTCGAGTCACTGTGATTGAGCTCTTAATTGCACTGCGATATTAATCCTTGAGCCGTTCCCTCCGCATCCCATTCTGTCCAGCCAATTCGGCCACTTCCCATCACCACGATGACCGTTTTCATTAGCTGGAGTGCATTCTCAATTACCAGATGGAGGGGTCTCGAGTTATCTAACCAAAGTTGGTTGCTCAGTCCGCAGTTTAAAGTCTTTCCGGGATCAAGATTGCGGTCTGCCGCAAGGATCTGTTCCCAAGAAAATACATAAACAATAATCACTTCCGATCAGCATTATCTATTGCTTATTTATGCAACACAAATATTTTTGTCAGTCGAAGTCAAGCCATAAAAAAAACACAGGCCAGGGCTAAGGATTAAGGTGGGAAAATCCTTTGGACAATCCGAAAAACACGTGGAAAAGTCAAAAAGTCCGGCTTATGGCCAAACGCAATTAGCGTTAATTACGATGGAAAACAGCAGGAGCAGCACAGCTTCCCATGGTTACGGGTTACAGGATTCCGGAATCCAGATTCAGGGTTCAGGATGGAGGAAGCGGCAGGTCCTTGCGGCCACTTGAAGTTTAATTTAATTTTTTCTTGCGGCTGCCGTAACGGCGCTGGCTTCAAGTGATTGCGCCATGGGATTGGATTGGGTGGCAGAGGTATGGCAGGTGGGGGTAGTTCCTAACGTCATCATCAACATCATCCACATCCACTTTGCCATCGACGTTCGTCAAAGCTTGCGATGATTGATGGTGCGTAATTTGGAAAATTAGAACCAGGATACGCAGCAAAAAAGGGGTGGCTCTCGTTTTCGTTGTCGTTTTTTCTTCCTTTTTTTCGTATTTCGGGCCCCTGCTAATGTTGTTGGCACAACAAGGTGTGTCCTGGTCCTGGTCCGATTGCCGCGTGTCCTGCCGCCGTCCGCCGCTTGCGGACGCGTGTTTCGCGTCCAACAAAGTTGCGCGTGGTTATTAGAAAACAATTTAATTAAATATTCACTTGAACCGGCAACACCAACAACATTCGCCGGAGCAAAAGCGTAGGCAGTGGCAGTGGCAGAGCGATGGACTCACTTTCCCATCATAAAGCGCTCAAACAATGTCCATCAATATTAAACGATGTTGTTCGGTGTCCATTTAGAGCGCTCCAGTTGTCCTTGTTGTTTTAGCCGTCCTCACTGGTCCGTGATGTAATGTGAGAAAGTTTTTTGGTTTTTTGGTTTTCGGTTTTCGGTCGGTGGTCGAGTTTCTAGTCAGTAGATGGTTGGGTAAGGGAGTTTTGGTCTGGGTTCTTCGACGCAAGGGAACGCCTTTGATCTATTTGGCCGTGAGGGCGAGTCCCTGAGAATAAGTCCTCAAAATATAGACGGGTTAAATGACCCTAGCTTTCCCTAGAGAAATGTGTCAGCTACTGATTTATAACCAAGCCAAGTTCCAAGACAAAATATCAATTACTTATTATTAAATTAACTTTTTAAGGAAATGAATTGCCCATCAGACTGAATTGGAAACTAAAATATTTTGGTAACATTTTCTTCTTTTAACGCTATGAATTAAGCCCATCAAAAATAAAGACTAATGTTTTCAGCTGAACTTCAAGACATGTTATTACATTCCTGTAGACAGATCCTTACAAATCCCTTACCCAAACTTGTTACAAAGTCATCTCCATTGAGCCAGAAAAGAGCTTTGTCCAGGTACGCCGCATTGCACCCGCAGAACTAGGCAGGATGAAAACAGAAGCTATCGGGTACAAACAGGGATACCAGAGGAGTTACCAGATACCAGGAAACCTGCACACAATCGATTCAACGGAGAAGTCACGGCAGGACAATGGGAAAGTCGTTGGCTGCCTAATTGCATCAGCGGCGCTTCCCTGGCCACGCGACCCTTTTCGCCTCACCTGCAATTAAACTGTCACATTAGGAGGAACATAGCTCTTCACCGAAAATGCAAAGTGATGACGCAGCCCAAAAAAGCGATTCCGGAACAGAATCGAATGGGTTGGTGGGCAGTGGTGGTGGCATGTTAACAATTGAGAGTCACGTGTCGGCGGGGGGTGGAAAGTCCTGAGCTTCAGCTTGGAACTGAAACGACCTTCCACCCGCCGAAAAGTTTAGCTTAGGGATTAGCCGCACGTTGGCTTGGTGGTTTCTCCATTGTGTTTGCCAACGCAGTTACATATTTTGCACCCGGCAAGCCGCCTAATGAAAGCAAATCTCCGCATTAATTTCAAACGAATTTGTTTTGATGCCATGATAAGCCGTCATCTCGACTGAAAGGAAAAGGGGCAGCCTGAAAAAAGTACATGTATGAGAAACGCTTGCCCTTTTGCCCACTGATCCCACTGAGTCCGCCCATTTTGGGCCGTTTTGATTTCTGTCAATAGCCCGGCGGGCTGGCACTTGAGCGGCGAGACGCTCAACTTTGCCAGCGAACGAAACTGAATTTTGCAATACGCCCGGGGGTCCTGGTTCGAACTCCAGTCCACTCCACTCCACACCACTCACCCACACACGCGCGCGCGCTTTGCATTACAATTGGCGAGCGGGCACGCCCACCCCTTCGACCTACGCCCACGGCATGCTACAGTTATTAACCTCAGCTTACACTGGGCTACAGAGGTAATATATTTGAGTTGGCTTACGAATTTTTTCGGTGTAGGAATCTATAAAGCTTAAACAATGCGAATTTAGTATTTTCTTTATTATAAAACGCACTCGTTATAAAAATTCGTAAAATATTGTAACACTAGAAAAAATGTCAAAAGAAAGAACGACCAATAAGGTCTAAATATTAACCCTCCTCAGCATGGTGAAATCACTTCCGATTTACAGACTTCAAATCTTGTTTGCCAGTGTAGTTTGGCCTGCGGCTAACAGTGTAATTAAAGTAGTTGCGGTTCATTGTAATGATGTCGATGATGATGCCGATGATTATGATGACCTGCACTTGTCGTGAAGCACCAGTTCAACTGGCCTGGGAATCTATTTGTACATCCCTTTACATGTCCTAGCAGCCGAGTCCCGGCACTTGTTCTTCCATCGGCCGCGTGCTCTGCACGTGAACGTCCATGATAATGATCTCAATTTCACATGCAATCGGTGCATGGTGGGAAAACTCTTCACCAGCTAAACAACGCTCATCAGCGATCCATTATAGATGGCTAAATTATTTATTGTCAACAGTCGGTCGAGAAATCGAATTTATATATGCCAGTGGGTTATTGTCTTTGCATCTGAGCGGGTAAAGCGACTCAATGTCAAGATTAATCGCCAGCTGTGGGACGAGGTTAGCGGACAGGTAACATCAGCCAGTCAGCCAGTCAGTCAGCCAGCCAACCAGCGAATCAAGCCAGACAAGGAGTCAGACTTCTATATGCCGGGGTAACAATGAAATATTGAAAAAAATTTCAAGTTCGGCAGCTTGTCAAGTGGCACTTGTCGTCAGTTGAACGTCACGGCGTTCGGGCACTTTGTCAATTCAAGTGAAATTTTTATTAATTTCGTTTTTAAAACTGTATGTATGGCCTGTGACAGATACGATTGTGTGCTGTGTGTGCATACAACATTTATATATTAAAAGGTTCTTGATGCACGTCCTCATCAATGGCACCCATTAGTTGTTGTTTAATGCTAACAAATTGCCGGCGATTCGTCAGCGGCCAGTTCCCGAAAAACCATCCTAAAACCGGCGGTCCCTTTGTGAGTCGTGTGACCTGTATCCTTAATTCAATGCTCTTGGTCT